TTAAGCCAATTGCTAATCTACAAATTCACTTTTCCTGTAATCCCATGGCTGCCTAACTTCATTAAGAGCCTTTCATGGTGGACATTGTCAAAAGCTTTTTCAATGACCAGTTAGCTATGTCAGCTGGATCATGCCTGACACCCTCAAAGAACTATAATAGGATGGTGAGGCTGGATTTCCTTTTGATAAAACCAAGTTGATTCCTCCCCAGCAAGTCATGTTAATCTATATGCTGAACATTTTTTGATTATGTTTCTACCAGTTTTCCAGAAACAGCAGCTAGACTCACCAGCTCATACTTTTCTAACCCCCCTCTAGAGTCTTTTAAAAAATATTTTAGTCACATTGGCAGTTCTTCTCTGGTACCAAGGCTGTTTTTAGTGATAAGTTGCATACTACAGTTAGGTATCCAGCGTGTATGAAGATTATGAAATCTTCATAATTTTACAAGGAGGAAACAAGTTTTACCACCTGAAACCTGAGACGCTGCTCCTTCCTTTGTTCAAGGTAATTTGCATTATCACAGAGCCCAGAGATACCTCACCACATAAGAAATTCTTGCCCAGAAGAGCATTCCATCTTTTTATGCTTTTGAAATATGAAACATCATAACCAGAAGGAAATATGACTCTACATCCTGCTTGCCACCAAACAACTTTGAGGTAAACAGACTATTCCAGCTTTTCTCTGAGCCTAATCTGCATAAAATGAACTGTTCCAAACAGGAGATTTTACCACACCTTCAACTCTCCTATGAAATCTGAACTTTCATTTCTACCTAGGATAACTTTTGCAATCTTTTCTCCTATGCCTGAAAAAGGGTGGTTACACCTGAAAGCTTGCAAATAATTATTATTTATTTTTATTTTTTTTTGCAAAAATCTAGTTGGTCTAATAAAAGATATCACCTCTACTACAAGTTCTGATTCCATACTACTGTTATTTCAGCAATTTCCCATCTGAGCTCCTTCAGGACCCTAGAGTGAATGCCATCAGTTCCTGGTGATTTCCTACTGTTTGTTTAGTTTACCAGTTTCCTCTATGACCCCATTTGCTGAAATCTCAATTTGTGTCAGATTCAGCAGCTTGTCTCTAGAGAAGGGTGGATCTGGTAAGGGAATCTCCCTAACATCTTCCACAGTGAACACAGCTCTGAAGAATGCATTTAGTTTCTTGGCAGTGGCCCTGTCATCCTTTAGTGTCCCTCTTACACCTTGATCTTCCAAAGACCCAGCTAACTCCTTGGAAGGACTTCTAGTATAATTAAGGATTTTTTTATTGTTACCTCTTATGTCTCTAACAAATTGCTCCTCAAATTCTTCCTTAGTTTGTCATGATGAACACTGACTTCTCAACAACATTTACCCAACTTTCTCTAACAGCATCAGTCCCCTTATGAATTTAACAATTTAGAAGGCAGGGCCAATGCATAAAAGCCTGACTTCCTTGGCCTCTTATGTTCAAACCATTAAATGCATTTAAAACATGTTAACAGTCTAATACAAGCACAAAAGAGTTTTTCACTCTCTCTCCCATGCATACCAATGGGGAATGTGCAAAAAAAAATAAGGAACACAGTCCCCTGTAATCTGACCTTGCATACCAATGTAGGCATAGAAATAAGCACTACAGAGAGGTTGTCACAAAGGTACAGTAGCAGCAGGGTCACATATGATATAGTACAGACAAAAAACACTGTGAAGTCAGTGGATTCTAGCATTCTGTTCTAGCAGAAGTAGTCTTCACATTCAGCCTCAGTCAGCGATTGCTACAATAATTCAATCTGGAAGTGACAAAGGCATTTACAACAATAGCGAGATCAGAAAGAAAGGTCCTTAGCACAAGCCCAGATAGGGAGGAAAAACGCTTCTGGCTGTTGACTACCCAAGTCCCGAAGAAGTTTCTAAGAGTTTTGTGAGACACATCAGGTCTTTACAGGTCTCTTTTATGCTATAGACCCTTTACACCAATTTGCAGTATAAAAGAATCATAAAATTGGTGTGGATAAAAGGTTTGTAATCTGTGAGAAACACACTGCCAGAACCTGCATGTTAACTGCAGGTGGGAAGACTCTCAGGACCAGCAGTGTGATAGAAAGGAGAAGACATACAAGCAGCCAAAAGTATAGGTGAAAAGCATCTCTTCAAAACAAATTTAAAAATTTAATAACACATACAATAAAAGTAAATCAGCTATTCGGTGGTTTCTTTTTCTGACAAAAAATGCCATCTATTAGGGGTTTTTTACATTCCAAAAAAGGGATCTTCTGTGTGAGACACAAGACGAATGGCAATTATTCCCTTAGTGTTCTTAAGAGAGCCATCTCTCCTTTGATTCATTTTTGTACAGGGACAGCTCAAATTTTAAGTTCTCATCAGAAGACAATTGGGTTCTGGCCCCTGCAATATATTTTCCTTCATAATAGAATCCTACCAGCATGATTAATGAAAGGGGGAAAATATGGACAAAGTATGCAGAAAAAACATAAGCAAAGAGCTTATTCTTCTCTCACTCACATTAGTATAAAACTCTTTCTTCTCAGTGCTATAAAACTGGTTTGAGTGACAGGAAGCAGGGTAGAAACTACAATTTTCAGTATTACAAGTTTTGGCCTAGGTCCTGTAAACACAAGTGCCCTTGATTTCAAAGTTAAGCAAATTTATACACATTTACAAGAACAAAGACATGATTCACAGCTGGTCTTACAAGGAAGTTAACATTTTAGGTTTGGTACAGACATTATACGTACTGTGCTATAAGCATGCAAAAAGCACTCTATAGACATAACAGAATAGAAATTCAGAGCTCATAAAGTGCTTTAAAAATGGCAGATCCCATCTAAGTTAACCCTTGATGAATGTGCTATCAGACTAAAGTGCTTTAGGTTATAGTGCTTTTTTGAATGAATAAGTCACATCCCATTGGGTATGAAGCTAAGTTGTATTCGCTGGCATCCCAGGGACTCCTTGCAGGGTGGTGTGCTTGCCCAAGCACCAAGCCAGCCCTGCCCCTCAGCTGTCACTGACCTGAGCCAGTGACAGCCCCTGATCTCAGTCCTGGGTCCTCCATCAGGTCAACTGTGAGCTGCAGCCTGGCCGGGGGGGGGGGGGGGGGGGGGGGG